TGAGGTCGGGTAAACTTCACTTCCGTACTAAATGTACCATGTACAAGACGCTGATAAGACCGGTAGTACTCTATGGGCATGAGAGGTGGACGATGCTTGAGGAGGACCTGCAAGCACTGGATGTTTTCGAACGACGAGTGCTTAGGACCATATTTGGCGGGGTATGTGAGAATGGTGTATAGCGGCGAAGGATGAACCACGAGCTGGCGCAACTCTATGGCGAACCCTGTATCTAGAAAGTTGCGAAAGCTGAACGGGTACGATGGGTGGGACACGTTTTAAGAATGCCGGACAACAATCCCGCAAAACTGGTGTTTGCCTCGAATCCAGCCGGTACAAGATGAAGACGAACGCTGCGAGCAAAGTGGTTAGACCAAGTGAAGCAGGATCTGGGAAGTGTGACAGTCAAGAAATTGGAGACAAGCAGCCACGGACCGAGTGAATTGGCGTAACATTGTGATGCAGGTGCAATCCTGAGGGATGTAGGACCAGGAAAAGTAAGTAAGTAACTCATCAACAAATACCTAGCCGGTTTACTCAAAATTCAGTTCTGGCTATGTTACTTAATTTGGAGTAACGGGTGTTCAATAAAAAATGAGAATTTTTTCAGTCATATAGCTAGTAAAAAAAAATCAACGAATTCAGTATTTTTTTTATTAAAAACATAATGTTTATTCTTCAAAACAACGTCAATGAATGTTGGAGAAGGGGTCTTGGTCAGCCGTACGACGCAACTTAGTCACGATGCTCTCACAAGAGCGCTGGACGGCACTGAAATCATTCTCATTTTTTATTAAACACCCGTTAGATCTGGTTTTAATTCAATCGAGTTCTTTTCACTCTATTATGAGTAGCCACGAACGAGCGTGCACACAATATCTAATTTCAACGCGTACAAGATGCACACGCTATTTCAAAACTATCCAAGTTTGGGTAGAATCCACCCAGATCGGTCAAAACTGAACCTACCCAAAAATGGGTATTCATACTACTCATCAAATCTTAAGAGTTACCAATTTAATTCGTTCAAACAAATCTAAAGGCTGCTCAACTGCAGTTGCTCTTCTAGACATAGAAAAAAGCATTCGACAGTGTTTGGCATGAAGGTTTGATTTCTAAATTGAAAAAGTTTATTATGAATTATTATGAACATTAGTTATTGAAATTAGTTCAACATTATTTAACTGACAGAACATTAAAATTCCAAATCTGAACGACTACCTGTTAGAGCAGGAGTTCCTCAGAGTAGCATTCTTGGGCCTATATTGTATGGAATTTTACTTCGGACCTCCCTGATTTGCCTCAGGGTTGCCACAAATCTTTGTTCATTGATGACACAGACATTTCCGCTAAAGGAAGAAATCTTCGTGTTATTTGTAGCAGACTGCAGAAAAGCTTATATATTTTCTCTTCTTAATTACAAAAATGAAAGATATCTCCCAACGCTTCCAAAACTCAACTTATAATATTTCCTTTTTGAAACCTAGTAGTAGTCACATAGTCACTATGAACGGAGTTCCAATTTCCTGGTCAAACCAACTGAAATATCTTGGATTAGTACTTGACCGAAATTAACTTTTGAGGATCACATTGAGGGTATTCAAGCCAAATTTAACAAATATATAAAATGTTTGTATCCCCTTATAAACCGGCCATGGCAGGAACAATGTAAAAACACTTAGATATATATCATTACATGGAGTGGCCAGAGCCGGAGAAAATACGGAAAACCCGGGAAATCACGATCGGAAGAACGAGTAAAAAAAAAACGCGTGCGAATTACTTCACCGATTATTCAATTGATTTTTATTCTTCCAATTCAATACATTTTAAGCTGGCTGTAGGAAAGGGAATACAGTTTATGTAAAGAAAAGAGACAAACTTATCGATCAATAACCACTACAGGGGATGCTACAGGGGACAACTGTTCACATCTTAGTTGGAAGGGGAACGTCCAGAGATTTCGCTCGAACATAATTCGCCCCCCAAATTCCCTATGGGAATTTCCGATCGAAGTCTTCTTGGAACATACTCATCCTGATCCAATGGTATGGCTCTTATCTTCCTGTCATCGCGAAGAAAATCGAGTGAATGCCGCTAAGAACGCTGCAGTAGTAAGCTCAGACACAGCTTCCATATGCACGGCCTTTGTTGTAAAGCAAACAAAGAGTGCGATGTACCCAGGCATGGAAAATCATTTGCATTCATTGCATTGCATTATTTTACATTCATTTGCCCCTAACTTTTTTCATCAACAGAATTCCACAAAATAATGAAAGGATCTTTTGTTGGTTTTGTTATGAGCTACAACTTTTGTTAACAACTCAAATCCACATCTCTTATGCATGACGCACCAGAGCGAACATAAGCCACTACTGTTTTTCAAAGAATGTATTTTACATTCACTGAAAAACAGTAACAAGTTCTGCCGCTCTAATTCGTGATGCATAAGAGATACAGATTTGAGTTATCAGCAAAAGTTGTAGTTAATATCAAAACCTACTAAAGCTCAATACAACATTCTCCGGAATGCTGCTTATGAAAAAAGTTAAAGGCAAATGAATGTAAATGAATGCATGAAATGAATGTAAATGATTTTCCATGCCTGGATGTACCCCTTGCTTTGTTTCGCACCTCTGGTCCTACGTCCAACAATGCTGACTGGACCGGCATAGTCCACGCCAGTAATCGCAAATGGCGGATTTGGTTGAACTCGATCAGATGGCAGCTGACCCATTTGTTGATATGTTGGTACTGGCTTAGCACGTGCACACGTCACACACCGACGATAAGCTTTCCTTGCTGCACTTGCACCACTAATTATCCAAAATCTCCTCCGGGATACGGCTAGCAGTGTTTGTGGCCCGCAGTGGTGATAGACGATGTAGTCATAGTTTAACAGATAAGATGTGAGGATAGAATGGCGAGGTATCAATATAGGATGTCTTACGTCGTAGCTGAGACTGTTGTAGTCTTCCGCCCACCCTGAGCATACCTTCTTCGTCCAGGAATGGTTTGAGTTGGTGCAAACTGCTGCCGCAGACGATCCAGCTCTTCACGAAAGTGCTGTTGCTGAACGTGGCGAATGTAAACTGTTTGGGCTCGATCAAGCTCCCGTGGTAACAGACGAGGAATCGATCGAGAGCCAGGAGACCTCCACCGAAGAATACGAGCAGTGACCCGAAGCAGCATCGTGAGATCGGGATAATATCGTGCCATCATTCCATCGAGAAAGTCATTTTCATAGAGAGTGATGAGAGAAACGGCTACTGCACCAGCTCTTTGCTCCCTATCAATGTGCTGTTGGTCAGTGTTGGTCAGTGTAGGGATGTCGGTTGATTCACATTGCTCACCTATGGGGCTCCATGCAGGACCATTCCACCACAGACTGTTGTGCTGAATTTGTTCTGGCGATGCACCGCGCGAAATGAGATCAGCGAGGTTTTGCTCCGATGCGATGTGGCTCCAATTGACTGCCGGTAGGTGCGTGGTGATTTCTGCCACCCGGTTGGCAACAAAGGTTTTCCAGCGGGAAGCACCGCCGTTGAGCCAGGCAAGCACAACACTTGAATCCACCCAAGCTCGTATCTCGAAGAAAGGTTGATTGATGGCGCTTTTTACGTTGTTGATGAGTCGTGCGAGGAAAACTGCAGCACATAACTCCAAACGTGGCAGCGTCGTTCGTTTATTTCCAATTGGCGCAACCTTGGACTTTGCGCAGAGAAGATGCGAACTATTTATTTCCAGCATCGTCGATCGCCCGGATGTATATGCAGGCACCCATGGCTCGTTCGGATGCATCACTGTAGCCGTGCAGGAAAATTCGCGACGTCCTGTTAGTGCCGATAACTCATCTCGGAACCTGAAAGGAGTTGAGAAGGGCCAGACCTTGCACGAAAACTTGCCAGATATTAGTCAACTCACCAGGGGGAATAGCATCCCAGTCCACCTTCAGTTCCCACAAATGTTGCATCAGTAGCTTCGCTTTGATGATGATAGGCGCAAGCAGACCGAGTGGGTCGAAAAGGCTGGCGATGTTGAGAGAATGATGCGGTTTGTGGGCTGAAGGATCTTGGGTGGTTGGACGCTGAACAGGAATTCGTCGCTGCACGGCTGCCAGTGGATCCCGAGGGTGGTGTTGGGTTCGTTGAGCTCGATGGGAATTTTTATTTCAAGGTCCGCCTCAGGAACACCTTCTAGGGATTCGTTGCTATTAGAAGCCCACTTCCGCAGGTGAAATCCTCCGGCAGAAAAGATGATGGAAAGCTCTTGTCGAAGCTGCTTGGCTTCATCAGAAGAATCAGCACCCGTCAGTACGTCGTCGACGTAAATCCCCTTGATAGCCTTCTCGACTGCATCCGGAAATTGCCCTTGATGGGAGAGCAGAAGCTGCTGTACACATTTTGTCGCCAGATACGATGCGCTTTTGGTACCGTAAGTAACGGTATTTAGACAGTATTCCTGGATCGGCTTGTCCTCTGACCAGCGCCACAAGATTCCAATGCAGTTTAGATCCTCATCGTAGAGAAGCACCATTCTATACATCTGTTTCATATCACCGGCGAGTACAACTGGAGGAAACCGGAATCGCAAAAGGATGTTGACCAGAGAATCCTGTAGCACAGGGCCCGCCAAGAGGATGTCGTTGAGGGACTCGCCACTGCTTGTTTTAGCTGAGGCGTCGAAGACCACCCGGCACTTTGTCGTCGAACTATCCTCCTTTATTACGCAATGGTGTGGAAGGAAAACACAATTCTCCGATACTGGTGTAGTGGCGAGACTCATGTGCCCGAGGTCGATGTACTCTCGCATAAAAGAATGGTACTGTTGTTTCAAATTAGGGTTCCAATTTGCGCTCGAGGTGTAGCAGTCTTTTCTCTGCAATTTCCCTCGATTTGCCGAGAGAAGTAGGGCTGTCTAAGTATGGAAGCCGAACGATGAATTTTCCGGAACTCTTAAGAATCGTGTGCTTCGTGAAATGCTTTTCACATCGGATCTCTTCATCGTTGAGTGTATTCCTCCAGTTCCCAGAACTTGCGGAGCTGATCGGAGAAAGGATCATTGGGAGCCGTCAGTAAGCATGAAGGAGCGTTAGTGTGTGGTTGATTGTCGCAGTCTTTGAAGTCACCAGAAACCACCCATCCTAATTTAGTATTCTGGAGTACGGGAAGCCAGTCGTCCAAACCAAGGTTGATTCTTCCAGGCTCGAGCAGCTGGAAGAAGAGTTTGTTCCCGAGAAGGATGCTGACCTTTCCGGGATGGTGAAATTGGGGATCAGCCAACTGAACCGAACCTGGAATTGGCCAATCCGTGATGTTGATCGGCTTTAACGGGAGCTCAGAAGTAAGTCGCTTAAGAATAATGCACGGCACTACATTCCGATAGTCTGAGCAACGTGAAGCGAATGTAATCACTGCTCCTTTATTCGCGTGCCCAGAAGTATTAGCAATTCCACCGAATTCGAAATCCACATCTGCAGTGGAGAGACACAATTTCTTACACAAATCCTCAGTGATGTAGCTTGTGTGAGACGCGCAATCAAGGACTGCTCGACAAGCATGTGGACGTCCAAACTTGTCTAAGACGTTGATGGTAGCAGTCAGGAGTAGAACGTTGGTGTCCATGAAATCGGTTGCTCGACAGAGCGGTGCAATCAATGTTTGCGGCATCGAAGACGAACCATAGATATTGGTTGTGGCCGCTGTACTGTTGCCTGTCGTTGAAGCGGCAGTCGATTGGAGTGCTTCGTGCAGACGAGTGTGGTGTGGAAGATTACATTTCCGACAATTGCCGGACTGGCAAGGTTCACCGGAATGTTGCTTCAGGCAGTTCTCACAGCGGTTCTGCCTACGGATAAAATGAAGTAGTTTATCGGAGCTGACATGAAGAAACTTACCACGCTGATACAGTTGATGCGGTGATTTTGCACAAAAAAACGCACATTAGTGGAGGAGAGAAGTGCCCGGTGGTGACGAGAGCTGTTGGTCCCCTGGTAGAATGTTTGCTTGGAAAAGGCGTGATGAACATCGGTTTCTTCTGATGAATCGGCTGAACAGATTTCAGTGCGCAGCTTTGGGCATCGATAAACTTCAGGAGCCTCTCCAAGGTAACTTGTTCGTCTTTGAGCTCCGACCTTTTTTGACACCACAACTGCTTACTTTCAGGATCCAGTTTTTCGGCTAGAATGTACAGCAACCATATATCCCTTCCTTCCTGATTCATGGCCTCCAGTGCTCGAATAACTTCATCGGACACATCATGTAGGGAGCGCAAACCAGCAGCTGATGGTGACGTCATGGATTGTTGATTCAAGAACCGATGAATGTGCTGTGCAGCGATTTCGAGCGGCTTGTTGTACCTAGCCTTCAGCTTGGCTAGAGCGGGAGCATAGTTGGCGTCTTCTATACGAAGGTGCGATATCAGAGCATCGGCTTCTTCGACAAGGTTGGTCTTGAGGAAGTAGAGCTTCTGACTATCCTGTAGAACCACGTTCTTGTGTACCGCACTGTCGAACAGGTCAAAAATAGAAGGCCATTCGAGGATGTTGCCTCCAAATGTAGGCAGATTCATCCGAGGGAGCTTGACATCGGTGTGTGGAGAAGCATTTTGGGCAACAACCGTTGAACTGCTGCTTGAGTTGGACGCCGTATTGAAGCTGCTGGAGATCAGTCGGATGAATTCTGCCTGTTGCTGTGCCAGTTGTTGAATGGCAGCGCCGCCATCTTGTGATGCTGCCTCATTGCGGGTCGAAGAAAAATCGAACCTTTTTCGGAGCTTCAACAAGGTACCTTTCAGGGGAGCGATATTACCCTCGAGTTCGGCCTGATGTTTCAGGATTTCATCCATTTCGTCATCCTTGTAACTATCCACCATTCGCTACTGAACCGAGAGATAAGCCGCCCAAATTTCTCGAATGTTATCCAGCTCGGTTTCGATGTCAACGTCATCGATATCATTCCTCTTATGAAGCTTCTGGATATTTTGCGATGCTCGGTATAAACGTGCTTCGAGCGATCTCCTCTCGCGTAGTAGCTTGTCCATTGTGGATAAACTAGACGATGATAAGTTTCAGTATCACCCACTTTCACCGGGAATGTTCTTTTCAGAGGTGATATTCCAACCTCACTCTGGTACTCACTTTCACGAATCGCGGCACAGTGACGAAAAAAGGATAAACGCACCTTTTTGATCACCCACGGCCCGATCCGGTTCGAAGGACCAATTTATGGAGTGGCCAGAGCCGGAGAAAATACGGAAAACCCGGGAAATCACGATCGTAAGAACGAGTAAAGAAAAACGCGTGCGAATTACTTCACCGATTATTCAATTGATTTTTATTCTTCCAATTCAATACATTTGAAGTTGGTTGTAGGAAAGGGACAGTATATGTAAAGAAAAGAGACAAACTTATCGATCAATAACCACTACAGGGGATGCTGCAGGGGACAACTGTTCACATCTTAGTTGAAAGGGGAACGTCCAGAGATTTCGCTCGAACATTACAATTAAGGCTGGTTAGTTACTGCAGTAACTGGAGCATCTAGGTTCAAATTAAATGTAATTTAGTTTGAATTTGTAACAAGTGAAAAATGGTGGAATTTATATAATGTCATTCCACCGTTCCAATGTTCCAATCTACCTACGTCATCAACCGCGCTTGTTACAGACAAACTTTTAAACAATTTTATCTTTGTTGCTTGCCGTTACTGATTACCCATTTTTATTTGTCTCGTCTGTCGTTTGTCATTTTGTCATGACAAGATCATTTTTGATTCCCTGTGTGAGAGCCATTTTTTACAGTTACGATGTATAATAATGAGAATTTACCATATTTCTGAAATTATGATTTACTAAGCTCTTCATTCAGTGCTAGCTAAATAAACCCCGGCTTATGCTAGATCCGATTATAGTGCTCTCAAACAACGACATCTGCATTTCATCGGAATATAGGCACACGTGAAGGTGTTTAGCACTTGACAGGTCTCTGAGATCAGTTTCCATTATCTATCCACCGCTGCAGCGCTGGTAGGTAGGTACAGGTAGTGTAATAACAGCGTACGTGAACATGATTGGCTGTGGCGTTGTCACATATCGTGAATATCCTTTCACCCAGCGAACGGATGCTGGATTGAACATGGCAGATACCGAGAATTTTTATTTTTTTTGCGTCCGTAGGATGCTCTCCCAGACTGCGTAGGTGTGCGGATGGTTGGCAAAGGTGAATGCGGGCACAAAGACCACATTTGCGGTAATCGGTTACAACACTCATCATTGTAAAATGCTGCGCTGTTTGCCGACGCAGCGGGTGGTGTGTTGGGCTAGAATTGACACCTGGAAGTGGGGGTGGTGCGAAGTGATTGGAGTGGGCAAAAAAAAAAGTCGCAACGTGGCACCTATATAACACAATTGTGGGATGGTGTGGCGATGTCGGGCTAATAAAATCTGTCATACTGCAGTCGTGCATAATCGTGGGCACGTGTAGGTGGATGAATCGTCCTCGTTGTCGTCGGGTTGCGTTGCTCTGGCTGGTTGGCTGGCTGGAAGGTGTGGCATGACCAATGCGCGATGTGATCGTGCTTTAATATCAATAAATTTTGGTTTGTTGGTAATATCGGTGGCTTTAGAGTTGATGGGTCTGGGTACATACATTGTTGGTTTAAGCGCATATTTACAAATGATGTATGTTTGAGAAGCGATATTATGTTGTTTTCGTAGATACTGGATTGATAGTGTGGTTTTAAAACGATTTTCTGAATAAATTGGATGCTCATCAAATGACAGCTGAGACGACGGCACGTTGATTGCAATTTATGAATAATGATATTTTGTGTGTGCTTATAATCTACAAACAAAATCGATCAAACGTGAAAGTCTACTATGTCACAAATGTTCGCACAAAATCCATTTATTTCAATTATATATTGCATAGATGACTTGTTCTTTCAGCCTTCTAACCAACCCACTGATCCTGAAAATTATCCTTACAACGAACAACCTCTTGAGCTTGTTCCGCCAACTGACAATCCGAAAATTTCTGAAAGGCGTATCCTAGGAGAAAATCACAATTTAGCTAACCCATCAGAACCCTCCTTCTCATTGTCACCAACCCCACACGAATTCCACACGATAGAAGAAAAAGCTCCGCCACCCCTCACTGCTGGGACGGAATTACAACAATCGGGAGGCTTTTAGACAGCTGCTTTTCTGCCGAAGCAGCCACATCATGGCAGTGTAGCAGTTCGCCGAACAAATGTTTGCCGAATCACCCGAACAATTGCAAGATTCATGTTTTCTTTGTCTTTAACATGCCGCTGTACCGAAGGGTTGTTCGTAAACTACGTAGACCGTTTTTGAGAGGATTTAGACCCCCCTCCCCTCCAACAGCGTAAGCAATCGTTCATACAATTTTTTGAAAATAAGTATGGACCGTATATAGCCCCCTCTCCCCTTCAAGTGTCTACGTGGCTTATGAGCAGCCCCCTACTTAACCAGAACTTCACTCGGAGAGCGATCCATTGTGGCTTCGGTTTTTCCTGGTAAACGTGATATAACTGAGCTGTCAGCTTGTATTGCGAATATGTCCCCGGGTTCGTGCCCGGAGAACGGTGGGTGGATGGGGGGGGTGGACGTGTAAACTTTTCCAAACTCTCTGGTTCCATTCGAATCAAACTTTAACACAAAACAGAACTTGGCACTGCGACGGGAGGAAGTAGATCCCGTTAGACATATTGTTCGGGGAATATGGAGTACGAAAAAAGGGTAACAGCTTTTTGTATTGATCACGCCCTTTGTGGAACGGGGAAGAACGGGAAGCAGGCACTCACAATTGGTTCTTTTCCAAGATGTGCTGCATTATTAATTAGCGTCGCAAAATATTAATGAGGTACCCCGCCCCACCCGGGTGGCAATTTAAAAGAGTCTTATTATGAATAAGTTGCAAATTTCGTTAATTTTATGAAAAGGAATATGTGTAACTGAAACCATAGCTTTAAATTTGAAATTTTCTGCAAGTGCGTGGATTCTTAAGGAGGAAGCTTGTACTTTTGTGTTGATTTTGATTTCACGTCCAGCCGAACCACACAGAATTTCAAATGTTTCTAAATCCACGTTACGGCTGAAATTAGCAAATTATGGCAATTATGGTTGATTTTATGTTTAAACCAAAAGTTGTTTTTCTTCTTTTTCTAGGCTCCGATGCCCTCAGCTTAGTGTTATTTGAAGTACTTCTAGAGGTATTAATTGACAGCTTTCTATGCGAACCAATATTTTAGAGAGCTTCGTATTCACATTTGAGAATTTGAATTGTATGCAGTGAATTAAAACCCTATTGAAAAATGCATTGTAAAATCCTCAATATTTTAGAAAACCGTTTCTCAATCTATGCTTCCCACTGAGAGGACTTCAAACTTTCTCCGTTTTTGGAAAATTGTTCAAAATTAAAATCATGGCAATGTATAAATTTACGTATAATGAATCAAACAGAATAATTCGTGAATTCTTCTTCTTCTTCTTTATTATTTATTCTTTATTCTTTATTCTTTATTGGGAGCAGGGAAAAGCCCATTTGAGTGGAGCTTATAAAAGTTTTTTTTTTTTTTCAAATGGGCATAAAACCTCCTCATCTTTTCGCATCAACAGAACAGTACATTCCAAATGATACATTATTAACTTAAGACTGAACAAAATACGACATTAAAGGGTGATACGGTCAAAATTTGGTCAAGGGAAAACGCGTGTAAATCGGTGAAATCGTTTATTTAAAAAATCAAATTAAATTTCTTTTTCAAGTTCAATTAGTATAAAATTCAGGAAAAATATTCAGTTAGGTTTCCGCTTTTCCAAATCCGAATTGCCGGGCCTTACGCTTGACCCCTGCCATCAGATTTTGTACAGCCACCTTGTCCACCTTCTTCGCCGCAGAAAGCCAGTTTGCCTTGAACTGCTGCTCGTCCTTAGCAGTTTTTTTTGGTCTTCTTTAGGTTCCGCTTGACAATAGCCCAGTATTTCTCAATTGGGCGGAGCTCTGGCGTGTTGGGAGGGTTCTTGTCCTTGGGAACCACCTGCACGTTGTTGGCGGCGTACCACTCCATGGCCTTTTTACCGTAATGGCAAGATGCCAAATCCGGCCAAAACAGTACGGAACAACCGTGTTTCTTCAGGAAAGGCAGCAGACGTTTATTCAAACACTCTTTCACGTAAATTTCTTGGTTGACAGTCCCGGAAGCTATGAAAATGCTGCTTTTCAAGCCACAGGTACAGATGGCTTGCCAAACCAGATATTTCTTTGCGAACTTTGACAGTTTCATGTGCTTGAAAACATCTGCTACCTTTCCCCTTCCTTTTGCCGTATAAAACTCCTGTCCCGGAAGCTGCTTGTAGTCGGCTTTGACGTAGGTTTCGTCGTCCATTACCACGCAGTCAAACATCGTCAGCATCGTCGTGTACAGCCTCTGGGATCGCGCTTTGGCCGTCGTATTTTGTTTATCATCGCGATTTGGAGTCACTACCTTCTTGTAAGTCGATAGTCCCGCTCGTTTTTTTGGCTCGATGCACGGTTGTAGACGATACACCCAGCTTATTTGCGGCATCTCGGAGAGAGAGATTAGGGTTTCGCTTGAAACTACCGGCAACTCTTTTTGTCGTCTCAGCGGCTTCCGGTTTTCGATTTCCCCCCGATCCAGACTTCCTGGCTGTCGACAAACGTTCCCCAAACACTTTAATTACATTTGTAACGGTTGATTTGGCAACTTTTAGCGATTTTGCCAACTTTGCGTGCGAGTAGCTCGGATTTTCGCGATGCGCGAGCAAAATTTTGATACGCTGCTCTTCTTGCTTGGACGGCATTTTGACAACTGAAGAGTGAATTCCAAAAT